GCAAGGCAAGCGCTCTACCACTGAGCCACCTTCCAAGTACCAGAGTGAAAACTTTTGAGAAGGGTAGTAATAGTGTCTGCTCTGTATTTCAGAGAGATAAGCCTGGTGTAAATACGAAGTTGTTGAGTATATGGCTTAAAAAAACACTGTGTGTGGGGGAATATCTTTATTCTTGAAAAATATATGAATATCATAGCTGCTTTGCGTGCACCTTCAGTGATTACCTTTTAGAGACTGTGAGTTTAATATCAGTTCCACAGATTGTTCCCATAAATAGCTATATATTTCTTACTCCGCTTCATTTTAATAACACCATGTAAGCGTTCGTCTCTCGATAAACCTGTCAGAGCTTGATCTTGAAATCAAAACTCAGCAAAAGTTTGATTTCAAGAAATACTAGTGATCAGAGGTATCTGAAGGATAATGTAGACCATATATTATACTCTGTACATCTCTCTAGAACATCAATGTAGCACCCTTAAATTGCATTGCCTTCCCTGTGTTACTCCTTGACCATAGTTACTTCCTTTGTGTAGTGCTTTGGTTTTATGGTATCAGCTCACAGAGAAGACCATTGTGACATTCATTGTGGTCTCTACTATAGGGATGTGGTTGAGAAAATACATTGTTCACTATATTACACAACACCATTCTCTGAGAATCTTAAGGAGAAATTTTAGATCTTAGTTCTCAGTATTGTTTTGATCTTTCTGAGTACAGTGGGCTTGTTTTGATTGTATGGGCACTGGATCATTTAACTGACTATATTGTCCTATTGCATTGACTACAAGGAAGCTATGAACCCACTTGTGCTTCATCCTGCCAGAGCTAAGACTTTAAGCATATATTTTAATTTTTTTATGTTAACACTCCTCTTCATCTTTCTGCCTTTACTATTATCCTAAGTTCTTGAATTATAGTGTACAACAAACGCTAAATTTTCAGCTTAATGAGTTTTTACAAAGTGTAACTAGTACCAGATTAAAATCAGAACATTTCTACCTTCTTGGCATTCCCCTCAAGCCCTCTACTCGGACATTTCTCTTCATAATTACTATGTGCAAAACATTATTAAGTCCTGCAGATAATACAAAACATGGCTGTCAGCCTGAAGGAACTATGTAGCAGAAAACAGTTTTAGCACAGCACGGTGATAAGTGTTCTAACAGAGCCTGTACTCTGGTTTATACCAGGGAGGAGAAAGTGCTTCTAACTTAGCCTAAGGGTTTATTTAAGAAAGCCATCCCAGAAATGAACCCCTACTTGAAAATGAATGAGAGCAAGTTCTTCTCCTTTTCTCCCATCCTAACACCACTACCAGGAATGTTGGGGGAAATTCCAGTGTTACAGGATCTGGATCACTTGTGATTCTCATAGGCCTTCTAGAAAGATGAAGTTAATAAAGTTGATGCTGAAGGACTTAAAGAAGACTAACTACCATCAGGAAGAGGATCAATAGCTTTTTTTCAAACACACACACACACACACTGAACTTAGGTCCTAGGTGTTGTCATTGAGTCTCTTTGTGCTCAAGGCTAGTGCTCTACCACTTGAGCCACAGAGCCACTTTGGCTTTTTCTGAGTAGTTTGTGATGAGAGTCTCACAGACTTTCCTGCCTGGGCTGGCTTTGAAATGAGATCCTCAGATCTCAACCTCCTGAGTAGCTAAGATTACAGATGTGAACCACCAGCATCTGGCCATAAACTTCTGAGTTTTGCCTTTTTAACCTGTTTTATGTGGAAGGATAATTTTTTTTCTCACTACTGAGGGTTGGACCCAGGGCCTTCTATGTGCTAGGAAAGAACTCATCTTTTGCTTCATACCCAGTCTTTTTGTCATGGTTTTTTGCATGGGCTGGTCTTCAACTTGCCATCCTCCTGCCTTGGCCTCCTGAGTAACTAAGATTACAGGCGGAAGGTAACTTGACAGCTTTGTGTATCTAGGCGAATTCTCCCTGCTACTGGGACTCCAGCTCCTGATCCTTCTGCCTTTTAATATTATTAGTCAACCACACATTCATTTCTGTTTCCTAATTGTATACTACTCCTAATTTTACTGCATATCTTGTACCTGTACTGTTTTTTTTCTAGCCACCTAGAAAAAAAAAGTGTGTGTGCATATACCAAATGTGTTCGTATACACATCATATATTGTGTCTATATCAATGTGAGGTAGGAGTCTGGTGGGTAATGATATAGTATATTGAAAGACAGCTCTCAAAGTTTACTTACTCAATAAATATTTGAGTGACTGTGTCACGCACTGTCAGAATAGGAATTCAATGTAAATAAGGATATTTGGGATTCAAAAAAACTATTGATTCAGGACAAAATCGTAACATATTTGTATCCTTCTGTCATACTTGTTACAGTTTTATGCTAGGTAAAGTTTTGTAGCCGGGTGCCAGTGATTCACACTTGTAATACTAGCTACTCAGGAGGCTGAGATCTGAGGATCGCAGTTCAAAGCCAGTCCAGGTAAAGTCCCTGAGACACTTATCCAATTAACCACAGAAAAAGCCAGAAGTAGCACTGTGGCTCAAGTGGTAGAGCAAAACAGAGGTCAGGGACAGCACTCAGGCCCAGAGTTAGATGCACCAGGACTGGCAAAAAAAAAAAAAAACAGTTCTGTGGTCAGGTGCTGGTGGCTCATCCTTGTAATACTCACCTTGTAATCAGATGAGAATCAGTTCAGAATCAGAAACAGTGGTGGGAGCTGAGTAAATCTGGAAAACTCATGGTAGCAGCTGGAAGGGCCTGGCAGACTTAACTCCTCTAAGTAGGGAACATGATTCCTGATTATAGAAATGTTCTTATTTACAATTTCTCTTCACCGTTCAACACATTACAAATTTGCTCATTGTCAAATTTAGTTACTTAAATGAAACAAAGTTCTAAAGTACTTTTTTCTTTAAGACTTATGATTTTTGACAGGCAAGGACAGCATGTTACCTATGAAAACAAACAAGTAATGAATTCAGCCAAAAATAAAATTTTGATTGAACCTCATTGTTCTTCATTGTATTTTGACTTTTTCATAATGCTCTTCCAGGGTCTAATGGCTATTGATTGTCCCTATACTGGCATTGTGGACTATCGGCAGGTAGCTTTGTCATTTGCCCAGGATTTCCAAGAAGCAGGTGGCTCAGTCTTGACCAGTTTTGAAGTAGAAAGAATTGGAATGGCTAAAGAAAGTTCTTCAGAAAGTAAAGAAGGTAGGTCATCCTTATCTCTTGAATGTACTGATTTTAATGAGCTACTTTATTTCTGTTACTTGGTTAAAAAGAAATTCAGAATGAAAAGCAGGGTGCTATTATGAAAGAAGAATGTCAATCAAATTTGTTATTAGTATATTTCAAGAAATTTTAGTCTTGTTTTGCTTTTTTAAAAAACCTTTCATTGCTTTTTTTTTCTCCAGATTTGCAATATCCAGTTGTTATAAAGAATAGTAAGGTAAGCTTCCTAAGTAAAAGTTGGTGTCTATGTGGGGGGAGTGGGGGGGGGTTGGCATCTGAGACTGGGACTCAAACTCAGTAATGATGCTTTTGCTCATTGGCTAGCATTCTTAGAACTGAGCCACACCTCCAACCCCAAGAAATTCTTTGAGTAATTTAATAGTCTTCATTGTAAGGAAAGTTTTAACTTGGAATGTCATCATGATGTAACTATGCTAATGAAAAGAATTTATAAGACACTAGAAGGCTTTATATTGCTGGGAGGGGAATGGTAACTGGGACTTGACTTGAATTCAGAGCCTTGCTCAGCTCATGGCTGGTATTCTGTCACTTTTCCACACCTTTCATTTTTTGCTGATTAGTTGGAGACAAGAGTTTCCAGGTTTTTTTTCTGACTGGGCTGACTTCAAACCTTAGTCCTTAAATCTCAGCCTCCTGAGTAGCTAGAAATATAGTTGTGTGTAACCATCATATATCTGGGATGCTTAATTTTAAGTAAAAACTAATATGTACTTTATCACTCTGCCACAGATATATATTCACTTATTGACTCTACTCATTTGAAAACCTTGGGAGAGATTTGGAGGCTGCGCAGAGGGGAGTGGACTGCTTTTCTTTATCTTCACATAGTCTAAAACAAGATCCATTGAATGGGATAGAGTATTCCTTCCATTGGAATCAGGATCAGAGAGGACAGCACAGTCACTCACGAATGTTATAGGATTTCCTGTAGGAATTAGGCCTGAGACAGTTGTGAGCTCCGGAGAGTTGGTGCAGTGATCTGTGGAGAGCTCTTGCCTCTGTGTCAGTAGATATCTGTGGGCAGTCCACATTGGAGTAGGATATCTTCAGAAAAAAGACTCCTGCTTTACTTTTACCTGCCAAGCCATAGGCAGTTACAGTTTGTATCAACTTTAAGTTGGAAACATTCAAAGGAGAGCATTCTGTTAAGCATAGTCCCCAGCTTAACCAAACCAACACAGTTCAACTCTTGCTGACTTCCCCTTGTCAACTTGGTATCCATATGTGCTTCATAGATCTATGTTTATTTTTTATTTTTGAGATAAGAGTTTTACTCCATACTCTCCTTACAATGAAGACTATTAAATTACTCAAAGAATTTCTTGGCGTTGGGTATGTGGTTCGATTCTAAGAATGCTAGCCAATGAGCACAAGTTTGAGCCCAGTCTCTGACCAAAAGAAAAAAAAATCATGATCCTGCCCTAGCCTACTAAATTCTGGAGTTACAGGCAAGTAGTGCCACAACTAGCCTGGCCCTTAGGACCATATTTATCTTATCTGAGATATCAAATTATTAGATTTCATGAAACTTGAGTTGCAGGGGAAGGAGTTTATTATAGCCCTGAAAAGAAACTCCTAAAATTGAATTAAGTGCTGAAAGGGAAACAAAGTATCAGGTAGCTTAGACATTTTATGTCAGTTTTAACTAAACTGAGATCTTAAGAAAAACCTAGCTCATTTGCTCTTTCTTTCTTTCTTTTTTATTATCTTTAAGTAGTTGTACAAAGAAGTTCCCATTCCCCGGTGGCTCATGCTTGTAATCCTAGCTACTCAGGAGACTGAGATCTGAGGATCAGGGTTCAAAGCCAGCCCGGGCAATGAAAGTCCGGAAGTGGCGCTGTGGCTCAAGTGGTAGAGAACTTGCCTTGAGCTGAAGAGCTGAGAGATAGCGCCCAGGCCCAGAATTCAAGCCCCACTACCAACCAAAAAAAAAAAAAGTTCCCATTCTACAAAACAGTATATGAATACAAAGTGTCTGACAACATTGTCACCCATACCTTCTCTCACTTTTTTTCTTTTCTTGAATCCTGTTACTTTGTCTTCTTGTATTTTGGCTTTAGCATCCACATATCAGGGAGACCATGTGCCATTTGTCTTTTTGTTCTTGGCTTACTTTGGTCAAAATAATCTGCTCTAAGAGTTCCATCCATTTCCCTGTGATTATCAGTAATAGGGTATCTAGGTTGTTTCCAAATCTTGGTTATTGTGAACAGTGCTGCAATAAACATGGAGATGCATGTGTCCTTGTATACTGGTTCCTGTTGTTCAGGGTAAATGCCTAGGAGTGGTATGGCTGGGTCATAGGGAAGGTCTATATTTAGCTTTCTGAGGTACCTCCAGACTGTTTTCCAAAGTGATTGTATTAGTATACATTCCCACCAGCAATGCAGTGGGGTTCTTCTTTCTCTGCATCCCCTCTACCATTTGTCATTGGCTGACTTTAGGATGTGGGCCATTCTGACTGGGGTAAGATGGTATCTCAGGGTTGTTTTTATTTGCATTTCCTTTACAACCAGGGATGATGAAGATTTCCTCATGTTTCTTTGCCATTTTTATCTCTTCTGAGAAATCTGTCTTTAGTTCCTTTGCCCATTTAATGATTGGTTTGTTAGATTTGGAAGGGATTCATTTCTTGAGTTCCCTGTACATAATGGGTATTAGGCCTTTGTCTAATATATTGCTGGTAAATACTTTTTCCCAGTTGGTTGGTTGTCTTTCTACTTTGGTTGCTATTTCTTTGTCTGTGCAGAAACTTTTTATTTTAAGGTAGTCCCACTTACCGAGTCTCTCCAATTTGTTGTGACCCTGGGACTCTGTTCAGGAAGTTCCTGCCTGTGCCTATAAGTTCAAGTGTCTCTCCTATTCTGTCCTGCAGTAGTTTCAGAGTTTCAGGTTTGATGTTAAGGTCTTTAATCCATTTTGAGTTAATGTTAGTGCATGGTGACAGGCTAGGACCACTTTTAGTTTTCTGCATGTGGCCACCCAGTTTTCCCAGCACCAGTAGCTGAAGAGGATATGATTCTTCCACTGTATGTCTTTGGCTCCTTTGTCAAATATCATCTGATTGTACATATGCAGTTTTATTTCTGGGTCCTCTAGTCTGTTCCATTGGTCTTCGGGTCTCTTTTTGTGCCAGTACCAAGATGTCTTTGTTATTATGGCTCTATAGTAGAGCTTGAAGTCTGCTATCGTGATCCCTCCTGCATTGTTTCTTTTGCCTAAAATTGCTTTGGCTATTCTAGGTCTTTTGTTGTTCCATATGAGCTTTTGGACTGAGAAAAACCTAGTTCTTATTTTCAGTTTGAACTACAGATTTTGACCACTTAGACATGAGGTATTGAGGGCATAATTTGTATTCATATGAACAATAACTGAGGGAACATATTTTACTATGGTTTATCAGTATTAACTCCTGTATATTTAGAAGGAGCTGGAGGAATGTATAGACTGTGAGTAACTTATAGGTGTGAGCCACTCTCTGAGGAGTAGAGGGGCCAATTCATGTATCTTTTCTTTAGAGCTTGTTTTACTGGCTAAACAATTAGTGTGATACCACATGAAGCTATCTTTTGTGTTACTATTGTGCATGACTTTTTCTAGCTTCTTCTACACTAGTACTACTAGTGTAGTATTAATACTAGTACTACTACATTAGTACTGCTAATCATGCTCTTCCTTTGCTTAGGGAGAGGAAATTCGGTGTCAGTACATTGTGACATGTGCAGGACTTTACTCCGATCGCATTTCAGAGTTGAGTGGCTGCAGTCCTCATCCTACTATTGTTCCATTCCGGGGAGATTACCTGCTTTTGAAGCCAGAAAAAAGCTATCTTGTAAAAGGAAATATTTATCCGGTAGGTAATGATATGTCTTCCCTTTCACTCTACTCAAGCTGGCTTAAATAGAAAGGATATGAAAACAGAAACTTTACTGGCATCAGAATAGAGAGTTTGAAGGACTGTTGCTGCAGATATTTTACCTGTTGCTATGATAGTTGTCTCTAAATTTAATTCTTTATTTTAATATCTAGCCATTAAGTTGTAATTGCCCACAGATAGCACTCCAAAAGGTAAGAGTATGCCATGGGAAGGAAGTACTGTGGAGAAGATCCATCTTCTTCCTTCATACTCATAAGAGAGGTTTCCTTTTGGGAAATATCATATGATACCCAGCCCCTTTTCTCAGTTCACTGTCTGGAGATACAGAAAAGAGATGTGGCTACTGTGTGGTTCCAGGAGTAAAAGACAAGAATTTTATGTAAGAGTTCCTCCTCCTGTCTAGATCTACCCTGGAAATGAGTAAATCCCTTAAAATACTGTATGTTTGGTGTTTTTTACTTTTTGTCTTTTTGGGTTTTTTGTCAGTCATGGGGCTTGAACTCTGGGCCTGGGAGCTGTTCCTCAGCTCTTCAGCTCAAGGCTAGTACTCTACCACTTGAGCCACAGCACCACTTCCAGCTTTTTCTGTTTATGTGGTGCTGAGGGCCTCATGCATGAGAAGCAAGCACTGCCACTGAGCCGCCTTCCCAACCCCAAAATACTGTATGTTGAACCAGGTGTTTTGGCTCTTATCTAGCCACCTGCATCATGGCTTGAGGTACACTGTTCCTAATCAAGTTGTTCACTCTCAACTAAGTTGCCCATCTCTTGCTTTTCTAATAAATTACTTATTACAAAAAAAATTGGGGGCTGGGAAGGTGGCTCACTGGTAGAGCGTTTGCCTTGTATGCCTGAGATCCTTGGGTTCGATTGATTCCTCAGCACCACATAAGCAAAAAGAAAAAAGCTGGAAGTGGCGCTAAGGCTCAAGTGGTAAAGCGCTAGCCTTGAGCTGAAGAGCTGAGGGACGGCACCCAGGCCCAGAGTTCAGGCCCCACGACCGGATTTCCCCCCTCCCCCCCAAAAAAAAATTGGTTCAGTTAATATTCAGCTGTTTGGCTTTTTTTTTTTTTTTGCGGTGTGTGTGTGATGTCTGGATGTATGTGTGTGAGTACCTGTGCACGTGTGTATACACACACACAAAGCCCAATAATGGGGCTTGAATTCAGGGCTTCATGCTCTTGCCCAGCTTTTTTGTTCAGTGTTGGTGCTCATCACCTGAGCACCAACTCAAAAGCCTCACTCAAAGCCTCCACTTTTGGCTTTTGTTGGTTAATTGGATTTGTCCACCTAGGCTGGCTTCCAACTGAGATTCTCAGATCCCATCCTCCTTAGTAGCTAGAATAATAGGCATTAGGCACTGGTGCCCAGCTAAATTGATGTTTTTGACTTTACTAAAACACCAAATTCATCTGTTTCACCTCATACATTCCCCCTTTACAAAAGTCTTGGCTATATATGTATGCTTTTATTTTGGTAATCCTGACCTTACTTGCCTGTCACATATCCCTGGTGTGTCACTTTAGGTGATAATCTACAGTGGGATAGTTCATCCTTTCTCCTTTATCCAGAAATATGAATAGATGAGTGAGTGTCTGTTAGGGTCCGTAGCACCAGTGTTTCCTGAGTGGCATTTCTAAGCAGAAGCATGTTAATAGAAAGGTATGTCTGAGTCTAGCGCACAAGCACAATAAATACATAGAAGAAAGTGTTTCATATTACCAATGGACCTTCTTGTTTGTGATAAATGGAATGTTCTTTGCTCTGTTAAATCTGTAGGTCCCGGATAGCCGGTTTCCTTTCCTGGGAATTCACTTCACACCAAGGATGGATGGCAGCATTTGGCTAGGGCCTAATGCAGTGCTTGCCTTTAAACGGGAAGGTTATAGATTCTTTGACTTCAGTGCCAAAGATTTCATGGAAATAATTATGAACAGGTAACTGTTAAAAAGGATTTTTTGTGTGTTTATATTTTTGATATGAAGAATTTTTTATTTTTTAAGTACAATTCAATAAATTCTGTTAAATTGGTATATTGATTTTATTGATCTAAGTTACAATCTTCATGGAAGAGCAAAGTTCTTGCTTCAGTTTTTTGTACTAGAGCTGAACCCAGCCTACTAAGCATGCATACTTTTTTCCCACTGAGCCCACACCTAGCCTCAAGCTTAATGTCTTGTGTGTGTGTGTGCATGTACATGTGTGCGTGCGTGCTGGTTTAGGGCCTTGAACTCAGGACTTCCTGCTCTCACTTGGCTTTTTTACACCAGCTGACCATCTTTCACGTGTACCACTTGTACCACAGTTCTGCTTCTGGCATTTTTTTCTCATGGTGGTTAGAGTCTCTTGGATTTTTCTGCCTAGGCTGGCTTCAAACCAGCATCCTCAGATTTTAGCCTCCTGAGTAGCCACCAGCACCCAACTTCCAAACACAGTGTTTTAACTGCCTCAAGAAAATTTTGATGAGCCAAAGTGATGTTTTGGTTAAAAAGAAGTGTATAGACTAGAGGTGTGGCTCAGATGGTAGGACCCTTGCCAAGCTCAAGGCTCTGAATGTAAGCTCCAGTGCAACCCCTTCCTCCACCCCCCCCCAAAAAAAAAGCAGGAGAAGATAAGACCAAGAGCCATTCATACATCTGGCAATCCAAATAAATAAAAAGATTTTTTAAAATAAGTAAATAGCTTACTTTGATAATGTAATTTTACACTGCTTGCAATTATCTTATAAACCACTAGCAAATAGCTAATGACCTAGGTGGTCCCTTTTGCTGAAAACTAACAGTACTAGGTCTGGGAAGGTGGCTCAGTGGTAGAGCGCTTGCCTTGCATGCATGAGGCCCTGGGTTC